GAAGCAGACTCGTCACAACTTTCTCCTTTAACCCTCCACAGACCCTTTTCCACGGGTTCAGCATTACACTCAATGAAAAATGTCACACGTTTAAGTCAACAAAGCAGTCCTTGTAGTGGCTGTTTTGGGGCTATCACGGGATGGAGTTTGTCATGGATACCAGTTACAATTTTTCTGTGCTCTCCAGGCATGACAAACCTTTAAAGTTGTAGAGTTTTTTTTTTTTTTTTTTAACAGGGTCAACAATGAACTTTTAGTCTGATTTCACAGAAGTGGCTTGACATTTTTAGGCTTGTTTGCTATCTTGCAAAGACTTGGATAAGAGGGCTGATACAACTTTGTCTGTCTAGGCAATGTGAAACCACTTCTATCGTAGGCTAGAAACAAAGGAAACAGTCTAATATTTACTAATTAACATGATGTACTGCTTTTTTTGTTTTTATTTTTTGTTTAATCTGTGTGGAAAACCAAAGTGTAAAAGAAGAAGACTTTTTTAAGTGGTTGCACTCATTTTCTGGAGTCTAGTTGCTGTGCCGTGTCTGGAGTTCAGTAGTTGCTGCAGGAGTAAAGTATTAGATTTAGAGATTTGATCACAGAATCTAGTAATGTGATTAAAGGATCCCAAAAATGAGCAAAGTACAGTATACTCATTTTTATTAGATGGCTGAGTATGTATCAGTCTTTCTGCCAAGTAAGAATGCATTAAGACTGAATCAAATATATTTAAACATTTCAGATACATCAATTTTCCTAATCGTTCAGTCACTCCAGAGTAAAAACAGAACTGCAACCTTCTTATGGCTGTGTTAAATTGGTGATTGCTTGGTGGTTGCATTCACTTTTCTCATATTCATCAACTGTAGCTGAGGCAGCTAGTTGATCGCCCACTGGTTGAGCGTGCAACACCCTAAATCTGTAGGTTCCAACATGTTGGCAATCTGTCTGAGTCAGTCCATAACATCTCTTTTTGAACAAGTCTTTCCAATAGAGGACTTTCCTCAACTGGTTGCCAACTGGTTGCATTCTGGTCATATTCCGATCAACTATGTAATTTTGCAGATAAATCTCCATCGTGCAGTAACTGCATTGCTGTTTTTGGAGGAATTTCTAAATTTTAGTTTCAGATCTGCGAGGTTCTGGCTGATTTCTGTGGAAAACAGACACAGTTAACTGACAATTATCACAAATAGATTGAGGTAAAGTTGGCAGTTCCATGCATTCAGTCGCAAACTGATAAAAGTCCTGATGCACCAAAGTCACTTTGAAGACGGCATCTGACTGCGATAGTTGGAGAGCTGGTCCTGGTCTTGAATGCATCAATTTCAAAGGTAAACCACGTGCACAGCACATCATCTCAGTTGGTTTGGTCATGCAGTGGTTTAAAACCTCTGTTTCCCCACATGTAACTACACCACAAGTCATCTATCTGAAGATACCATAAAGAAAAAAAGACTGAAAATATATAATAATAAAAAGATCCCGTACAACCCACACAGCCCCAATCGTCTTCTCCCTTCGATGTTCCCACTTTGCAAATCTTTTACAAAAAATATCTTGTATTGTCTAAATGTAATAGCAGCTGTGTTAATAGCGACAGTTTCCTTGTCATTTGGAACATTTACAGGCTTAATTGATGCTTTGAGAAGTAAAAGAGTGAGAAGAGAGCACCATTATACCATGTGTCAAAGTTTACATCTTAAAATATGGTTTTTCCTCAGTGCAGTCAAGCTAATAAAAGAGCTTCTTTTGATGTCTTGGCACATTAAGAGTGCGTCATCATTCAGTCTTGCGCTGCTTGGTCGACACAGTTTTTATACTCCATTAACATTTGACCCACTTATGTGTAATAATTGCATTTATAAATTTCTTATATCTTTTTCTTTTTCTTCTTTTTTGAAGCACTGCACCCTGCTTCTTTCTTTTTTCCCCTTTTGCTTTGTCTTGGTAGACAGTGTGAGAAAAATGTTTATCTACACCCATCTGGATCCCTACTCTCTCGACCGACTGCTCATCTGTGATAACATGAGCTCCATGCCCTCCGAACATAATAACCTAATAGTCCGTGCTGCTTCTGTCACTTTGTCTTACAGAGCAGGACCGGGGAGAGGGACTGATTCAGACAGTGTGAGAGAGCGATACAGTAGATAGATAAAGACGAGAGGAAATAACTTTCCCTTTTTCCCCTCCGTTATTTACAGTTGTGGAGGGGTGGGTGTGTGTGCCTGGATTGCAAAGCTGCTTAGTGGTATGATTCAGTTTGGGGATTTGAATCTGCTCTCACCCCCACTTCAAGCACTAGAGTGGAGGCGGACAAAGGGTGAGATAGAGGGGGAGTGTGTGCATGTGCACGAGAGTGAGGAACGGCGTAGGAGACGCTCAATCTGGTATAGCTCCATGTGAAAATGACCTACTTCCTGTCAGCTCGCTCTCAAATGGATTGCTGTTTTCTGATGTGTGGAAGAGTGGGGGAGATTTTTCTCTGTGGGGTCTGAGGGGGGTAAGGGGGTGGAAGAGTTTGGCGTGGAACGGTTAAATGAAGTAAATAAGTAGGTGGCTCTGGGGACCTTAAGGGTAGGATAAAATAAATGTCATGTTAGTGAAATTCTGCATGCATGCATGCATGGCGAGCATAGTGTGTGCTCACCTGTGCATACATTGTCTGTTGGCTCATGCTATAAAACATGTGATGTGCTGCTCTCTCTCTGCTGTGTTAATTACCCCAAAGACGGCTCGATGAGAGTTGACTATCAAAAAGCCAATATTTGAGGGGACAGGCCTCGCCAGATGCTCAGTGGTCGTGTGTGTGTCTGTGTGCCATCCCGCATATCCGACACACACACAGAGGGTTGTTTATGGACGTCATCTGCTTTTCAGCAGGAAAGTTTCTGTGGTTTTAATTTGGTTTTAAAGGAAATTCTCATGAGAACCACGAAAGCCTCATATCGTCTAAACCTGCTCTTTGATTTAGATACATCTATACTTTAGTAATTAATGTATAAAATCACAAACTATATAACACACTAACAGGATGCACATGATAATATAGATAAAGAACCTACATTTCATACTGTTTTATATACTTAAGCAGTTCCTAATAATATTTTATTAAAAAAAGTAGTGCACAAGTCTCAAGCCACCCCGCATTACTTCGTATTTTTCTTCCAAGGAGCCTGACTTTCTTCTAAATATTAAATAAGTTGTCTTGAGCAACAGTCTTTCTGAAGGTTTTTCAAAACATTTTCTTTGGACATTGGCCACTTGTTCACTCATTTTCAATCCAGTCCTTGTACCTGACAATTTTCAGAGGAATGTTTTTTTGTTTGTCTGTTTTTTGCACTGATACCGACCTGCTGTACCTTAATTCAAGCATGAAAAAGGGATGAATCAGTGTTGTGTCTACACTTATCACTTAGCAAAGAAACTATTTTAAATTGTACCTTTAGATCTTTAGCTTTTCTTTTTTCTATGAAAAAAATCAAAGGTAACACAGTTTTACAGAACAAATGTAGTTTTTGTTCCAACAAGGTGATTTAAAAAGACCAGCTGATAACTTTACATATGTTGGAATGGTGTGCAGTGTGTCCTTAAAAAGTTTGAGGAAACTAGACAAGTGGGAAACAAATGAAGAACTGGCAGAAAAGCTATGTAGAGTAGATGAACAGTACCCAAGATTGATGTCCTTAAGAAACAAGAGCAAATCCACCAAAGACCTGACATAGAACCTGAGAGATGCATCTGGGCCCGTGAGTTCATCCATCTACTGTTTAACGGAGCCTAATCAGCAATGGTCTCAGTGGAAGGGCGGCTGGCAAGAAACCAGAAGGAAAAGAAACGGGGAGGAAAGGCTGAGGTATGCCAAATTACACGAGAACTAGACTAAAAATTACTGGTACATCTGATGGAGTGATGAATCCAAATTTAAAGTTTGTGTTTCAAATGGTCAGCAAAATATTTGGAGGAGCTCAGAAGAGAGATAGAAAATAAGTGTCCACAGCCTCCTCAGAGTCCAGACCTCTACATTACCGAAGCAGTGTGGGACCATTTTGAGAGAGAGCAGAGAAAACGTCCAAAGAAGAGCTTTGAAGGTCCTTCAAGAGGCCTGGAGAACTATTCCTGTAGACTACTTAAAGACAGTCCAAGAAAGTTTGCATAAGAGATTTCAGAGCTGTGCGTTGAATCTTCGCTCCTCAGTATTGCTATAAAGTAATAATGACACCACTGATATTTAGATTGGTAGTCTTTAAGAGTCTATAGTATTTCACTATGACATCCTGAGTACAAAAAATGAAAGCTTGATTGCAAGACCAAGTGGTTTTTGTTTTCCCAAAAAGGCTTTTGGAAGCTGAAATGATGGACTGTGGAACGCTTGAAGAAACTGGAAACTTTACCCTGCTCCATTTGTTATGAGAGGTTGGAGAGACAGAAATGAAAGCAAAGCAAGCATGGATGTTGGCAGGGCATTCACTTTATTGAGAGACTTCTGGGACATTTTGAAATGCGTGGAAATCACCTGTTAAAAACTAATCTGACCATGTGACTTTGTGTGAGCTCCAGCAAAGACTTTTCACCAGTTAATAAATCTGTAATCAGGGATCAGAATTGGACCAAATTTAATCTTCATATTTAGGAAGGAAATTTGTGAATAATCCAAGGTTCAACAGCACACCCACCTGCAGGATAACATAAAATATGCAAGAGTAGAAAAGGCCACAAAAAAAAATATCTGTGGAACTTCCCGGCACACTCCTTCCCAGTCTCTTTGCTGCATTTAATCCCGGCTTTCAAAATGAAGTGGCAATTCAGTCTGTTAGTGTATTAATTTGGGTCATGAGTAATGTCTCTGGGATGGATTCATCGAACAGGTATGCGCTGTCAAAGCTTAATCCCCGTGACTCTGTCTGGCTGGTCGGAAGCTGAATTAAATTAATCCACCGTCATAACCCTGCCCCTCTCTATCACTCACATGCTATTTCATTTTCCCTGCACGCTGTGTTTTCCAGTGCCCGAGGACCTGTCTTTAGAGGAAAGAGATGAGCTGTCAAACATACGGCGTAGGAAAAAAGAGCTTCTGGATGATATTGAAGTGAGTAACAGTGGAATCAATGTTATTTGAGTAATCTGATCAAACACTTCTAAATGAATGATTCGGAGCAAGCCTCAAACTAATAAACACGGTTGTTGATGTGCATTGCATGTCTGAAAAGTCCTCTGGTGCAGTGCAGAACAATGAACCTTATTTCATTTGTTTTCAGATCTTATATTGTTACATTTACTTATATTAGTTTGCTGTTGCCTTTTGTCACGAAATGACATATGTCTTCGTCATATTAATAAGCAAGCCTTTCACTATTATATATATTTAACTAATAAAATCATAGACTGTGTTTGCAGATCATTCAAGAGCTGCACTGTGTTGTCTCAGGAGCTATAAACTTGACTTTATGAAACAAGCGACTCTGTCCTTCGATTTCAGCGGCTGAAGTTTGAGATTGCAGAGGTAATGACTGAGATCGAGCAGCTAACCTGCGTGGGGGAGAGGTGAGTTTTGATGGTTTTTCTTTTCATTTTTTTTTTTACATGTTGTGTGATTATTTTCATTATGAATTGTGTCCTTATGATAGCATTTTCTTGGCTCTTAGTTTTGTCTGTAAGCTGTCGTTGAATAGGCAATAAAATCTAAAAGTAAATAATAATAATGCTCATTGGTGTTTTTATAGGACCAAGATAACATGAAGTTTTACTTTTTTTTTTTTTTTTTTCTTTACATAAATTCATGTAAAAAGTATTAATTTTAAATTATATCAAATGGACTAAAGAAGTAAAAAGCGAACATTTAAATAGCTGGTACCAGCAGTTCCTCAAATGCTAAATTAAGCTTCAGTCACACAGTCATAGAAACTGGTCGGTGCCCCCGATTGCTAAGGAAATGTGTATATCCTGAATAGTTGTTGAGTGGTTGCTAGCTGATGCTAGGTGAAATCTGTTGCAGGTTTTTGGTGCTCCACCAAAAACCTCTTTGTGATTGCTTTGTTTATGAGCAGATTGCCGCGTCCCTCTGTAGTTTACATGGAAATCGCCAACTTGTCTGCAAACACTCAGTTTACTCTCCGAGCGATTGTGAAGCTGTGAAACTGGAAAAACTGAAACATTCACCTTCAAAGTTGTGCCTTAGTTAACCAAGTTAACCAACGTATTTCATCAACCAGTAGCAGAATGCACTCTTTTCCCCAGTGACCAGTGGTCCCTAGATGGTCACTAATTGGTCTCTAGGCCTTAATTAGCAGGATAGCTAATAGTGTTGGAGATTTAAATGAAGTCAAGTCAAAAAGTAGTAGTGTTGCATGTTTGGATGGCTTCAATGAACCGCCAAGAGATCAGCTCATTAGTTTTTGTTTGCTTTGGCTCTGCTACTCTTTTAACAGTTACCTTTGCAGTGAGACTCACACCTGTCAGTTTGTGTGTGTGTGTGTTAACATGTTAATACCCCATTGTTTGAGGAGAAAAGCAGGACAGTCTCTCGACTTAACATTAACCAAACAGTCTGCATTTGATTGGTTGCTGAGGTGGGGCGAGGTCGTGTCAGGCTGTTGTGTGTCTCAGGCGCAGCTGGCAAAGGGGCTCCAGCTTTTTTTGGGCATACGTAAGGTTTAGGGAGCGTTCAAAGACACGCAAAGGTGGAGATTTCCCCGAGGAGTGAGAGCAAAAAGTGTTTCGAGCATTGATATGGGACAATCTACGTCCAGTTAGCTAAGATGAATTAAAGAAAAGGGACAAGATGCACTCAAGTGAGCAGTAACAGCTGATGCACAATCACATGTTGCGAACGAAATTCAAGTTTTCTCAGTTTAATCCAAATGTAAACTCAGCCTTTACTTGACTGAGTGGTTGGTAAACACAGTTGTGACAGGCCCTGAATAAACTCGACACAAAGTGACCTATTAAACACACGCAGCAGCCGGGGAGCAAAATTGGACTCGGCTGTCATGTGAAGGATGTTTTCTGGGTTTTTTATTCTTTTGGTTTCTGTCACAGCAAAACCACACAAAGAAACAAGCAGATCGCCATGGGAAGGAAAAAGTTCAACATGGACCCAAAGAAGGTCAGAGGAGATCCACAGCTCTGGAGTTTAAATTTAAATCATTCATTGAGTAAAATACCTATTTATACTGCGCTTGCTCTCTCTTTAAAAACAGGGAATCCAGTTTCTTTTGGAGAATGATCTTCTCCAGAACACCCCAGAGGACATTGCACAGTTCCTCTACAAAGGAGAAGGGCTCAACAAAACAGTCATCGGGGACTATTTAGGGGAACGGTGAGCTCTCCAGTTTTCTCTCTGTTTTCCTTCCACCTTTCTTTTTCCTCTCCCCACATCCTTGTGAGATGTGCACTGCACGTGCTCAGACATCAGTGATAGAGCCCTGGGAAATTGGTGGTCTGGATTTATGGAGCACAATAGTGCCAGGAGACCGTGCCGCTGAAAGAGGGGGAAAAAAGTGTAGGGGACATGTGGTTCTTATCGAAGGGAAGTCAATGGGGATAGGATGTCAAAACAACAGGGGACATCACGCTGCCTGTCTCAGCCGGCACAGTGGCTCTCTGTCTGAGAGTGCCACTGTGACGTGGCTGCAGGACTTTGCTTTCCACCTTCAGTCACTGAGCATAGGAGTTCATCACTTCTTCTGCTTTTGTTTAAGCTGAACTACTCATCACATGTGTTTTTTTTTCTCCCCACCACCCCAGGGATGACTTCAACATTAAGGTCCTCCAGGCGTTTGTGGAGCTTCACGAGTTTGCTGACCTCAACCTCGTTCAAGCCTTAAGGTACTTAACAACTCATATTAGGAAGAAAGAATTAAAGCAGGCGACGGTGAGTGGGTACTACAGTGCAGATTGTAAAGTTTGTGAAGGGCAGGCATGTTTTCAAGTATAAAAAAAAACAGCCAAAACAACATACGGGAGTTTGCAGCACAATAAGATGGTGTTTTACAAGTTTTATTGTTGCTTTGGTACTTTTCTTTTGCAAAGTAAACACCAGGCGTGCACCGAGTTTTACAGACCAAACTGAAAGAAATCCGCCTTGGCTTCACTTCACATATTTGGTTTTCCCATTGTAAACTGTTGAAATATGACATTATATCACGGCTGTAAAAAATCTTGGCCTGACTGAAATTGTTCCCACACTTGAGCCAACAGACTGTTTGCAGGGAAGGTGGGGGTGGGGGGAGCGGTGTATCTGTCAGAGACCTTTCCCGGGATGCACCAATTGGCATTATAAAAATAATATTAGAGCAATTAGGCTAGCTGATCATTTCTTTTTTAGATGGTTTGGCCATGTTGTCGTTTGTGATGTGATTTGCAAATTTGTAAGTTGGTCAGGTTGTTGTTGAATTCGCAAAACACTTTTCATATGGGATTGGATATTGCTGAGATGTTATTGATGTAGTGCTTTTCTCTAAATTGCCAATAAGAATCAAGTTGGAGGAGAGCATAACGACCAACCATGCAAAGCGGTCCACAAGGAGACCGCTGCTCTGCACATCCAAGCAAAAACTGATCCAGGTTTAAGCTCAGATGAGGCCTCTGCTTTGTCACACTTGTTGCACTAGCACTGTAGCTGTGACGAGATCAAGTGGAGGCACAACGATGCTACTTTTGATCTCTTGTTATGTGCGGGCACTGTCACACGTATATTCATTGTTACCTACTTTGGAATCACATATAATTAACTAATTGGCAAATTCTGGGACAAAACGTATTTTACACGTTATATTTTTATGCTGATTTACATTAACATGTGTTGTCACCATTAAATAAATATTTTTTTCATGCGACTGATAACAGAGGAGCCGGTGTGCACACCTCTTATATGTCAACAATGTGTCATGCAAACCTGCGCATCAAGTTAGGTGATCAGTGTATCAGATTCCTGCCTAAAGCTGTGTTCAAAGTGCTAAAAAATAGAGTATTTTCCCATGCACAGCTTTAAAAGTTTGCCCTAACTTCTAGTTGTTTGGTTTGTCTGGTGTCCCATGAAAGACAAGAGTGTTCTTTGTGCTGTTTTTTTTTTTTTTTTTTTTTTTTTTTTGCAGAAATATCAAAATCTAATCTAACACTAGAAAAACAAAACTGCCTGTTGGCAAAGACGTCTTCATTTATGCCATAAATACACCCTCCTAATATAAAGAAATGTCTGTGCCGTGTAATACTGTTTTGTAATTCACAGGGAAAAACACAGATACTGTTACAAACATCAATATTTCATGACACATCATTACATTTTTCCTCTCGCTCTCTGCTGTTGCAGGCAGTTTCTGTGGAGCTTCAGACTTCCCGGCGAAGCCCAGAAGATTGATCGTATGATGGAGGCTTTTGCCTCCAGGTACTGCCAATGCAATCCCGGCGTCTTCCAGTCCACAGGTACCACACACACGTACACACATACACACACGTTTGCACCGCAGCAGATATATGAGTCAGACTCAGCCAGACAGTCCAGGACGGATAACATGCTCTGCCCACCAGACCACCCGGATTCAAATCAATGCCTCTGTCTGTCTGTCGTCTCTCACCGGACAGCTGGACCTGTATAAATCTTTACCTTGTGGCTACATGCGGAGATTTCACGACTGCGTAGGGGTGCAGCTTCAGAATATTTGTTCATTATTTCAGCCTCTCTGTGAACTTGAGTGGACCTGAAGTCCAATTACAGTTTTCCACTGAAGTTGGCAAGTTGCTCATTACCTGTGTGATCAGCATTCGTGTCTCCAGCAGTGATAATGAAATTGATCACCGGTCAATAGCGGTCATTAGCGCCGTCTTGGCTTGTTGCACATAGCCTTCCTGCTCACGTGTTAGTGTTAAGGAGGATGCAGGTGACGGCTCGGGTTGTGAATATTGATGTGGTGCAGTGGTGACACACCCAGACTTGGTTATTGGTCATCCCTCAAGAGTGGTGCACAGTGGGTTATAAATTACATGCAGAGGATGTTGTCTGGGGCTCTTAGTGTGTGGATGGATGAAACCGAGTCGTAAGAGCAGGAACACACTGTGTCAGAAGATGGGCTTTTCTGTTGATTAAATTCTCCATTTTATCAGGTTTTCCTTCAATCTGTGGTGTGAAAATGTGCTACAAGATGTTTCTAATTCCCTTTTATGGCAAATAAGTTGAATGGCCTACTATTTTTATCACATCCACACTAATCTATAACCTCCACACACACATGTGGAGTGTGCATGTGCTGTATTTGGTTGTTTCTCTGTGACACTGTGTGTAATTACCTCCACAGACACATGCTACGTTCTATCTTTTGCCATTATCATGCTGAACACCAGCCTGCATAATCCCAACGTCAGAGACAAGCCCCCAGTGGAGCGCTTCATCTCCATGAACAGAGGAATCAATGAAGGGGGAGATCTCCCAGAGGAGCTACTCAGGGTGAGAGCTTTGACTTGATTACTTCGTCAGGTTTGATGAATTTATCCTATGTGGTATGCATTTGAAACACTATGGAGGTAAAAGTGGAGGGATTAAATTAAATGTTTGGGGTTTTCTCAATGTGGCAGACAAAAAGGAAACTTATAGGTTCTCTTATAGGTCTCCTCTGTGAAAAGCAGAGAGTCATGCCTCCCTAATTGAGACATTGCAGCTCAGGATAATGATGAACTTTAATAAGAAAAAGACGAAAAACAAGTCGATCGACTCGCATGCGAGAGGCTGTCGTGTCTGCCAAAGTGCTCCTTCAGTACAAAAAGGAACCTTGTTAAAAAATCTTCGCGTTCCCAGAGTCACTGATGTATGAATCTTTGTCTTTGTCTGAAAATTGATTTCTCAGTGTCACGTTTAATGCACCGGTAGTTGAAGGCTTGAATGTTTTTGCACGTGAGTTAGAAGTGTGTGTGTGTGTGTGTGTTTTCATCTAAGCGTAAACGTTTTTCTGCTTTTTCTTTCTCTGTGCAGAATCTATACGACAGCATCAAGAGCGAACCCTTTAAGATCCCCGAGGACGACGGGAACGACCTGACGCACACGTTCTTCAACCCAGACAGAGAAGGCTGGCTGCTTAAATTAGGTTAGTCTGAGTCTCACGCGCTCAGGTTCTGGGGGAATGCAAAACATCCGGCTTGACTTTATTTAGGAACTCCTACTTTCTTTCTTTTTTGGTCTGCGACTATAGAATTAGACTCATGAGAACTTAAACTGCGTGGTAACTGTTGCTCGTGCACTCTCCTTTGATCGTAAAACATTAACTGAAAGATAGATAAAACTTTGCAAACACACCCATATGATAAAAATAGAACAGCAAACATTCAACTTTTATATACAAGTCGTGTATCTTACAGTTTATACATGGGAGTGTATTCATGATCCATTTCATTGAAGGTCTGGTCGCGTTTGTGAACAGAGCAAACAGTGCATATAAAATATGCATGCATGTCATTCTGTCTGTAAACATGAAAGCTCGAAAAGCTTTGAATGAATTCGGATAAAAGTGTAGGGGTGTAGAGCGGAGTCATCCACCGAGGTCTTCAAGGTCAACTTAACGACTGACAAAAAGCCTTTTAACCTAGAAACTATGATTCTTACAAGCAGTAACTTTGAGTTCTGCCACTCACAAAGCTTCAGATATAATTATAAATGTAACCAACTGTTTGTGATGTATCAGTGAATTCCTCTCTTTCTAAAAGCCAGGCTGTGGTTATTTAAAAGCCACATGATTTGAAATTATGAACTGTGAGTTATATCTCAAACATAAAAAAAAAGGGCAGTAGCTGATTTTATGTGAACCGCATACACAGGAAATTTTAAATGTGTTTTACAAGCAAAGTAAAACTAATTTTAATATATTTAAATACTTTATGGTGTGAGGGACTTTCTAATGAAAACCCCGTCATGTTGTTGTTTATTAAAACTACAAAAAAAGATGTATGACAAATTATAGCCCGCTTAAAAGAAAAATAATAAAACATCATCATCCTAAGGTGAGAAACCCACATGTACAGCCATGCAGATGCAGATTCTCAATTAGCTCTGTATAAACATAGTTTAGAAATGATACGTACATTGTTTATTAGCCTGGACTCCTCTTATTGTGTGAGGAAGAAAAAAACATCTCAATCATTTGAAGTGTGTGTGTGTACATATGTATGTTTACATATCTTTGTGGGGACTAAAAATTGGAAGTTTACCATACTTGTGGGGACCAACAGCTGTGTGGGGACAAAATGCCGTCACCACAAGTTTGAAGTCATTTTTGAGATTCAAATTGTGGTTTTAGTGTCAGGGTTACAATTAGGTTATGGTTATGGCTAGGCTAAGGGTTAGGGTTAGGCATTCAATTTTAATGGTGATGGTTAGGGTAAGCAGCTAGGGAAAGCATTATGTCAATTAGATATCCCCACAAAGCTATGAAAACAAGACTGTGTGTGTGTGTGTGTGTGTGTGTGTGGTGTGTGTGTGTGTGTGTGTGTAGTGTGTGTCTGTGTGTGTGCCAGGTGTGTGTGTGTGTGCCAGGTGTGTGTGCCAGGTGTGTATTCGTCTCCAATGAGGTCATGCATTTATAAATCTTGCTTTTACTCTGCTTGAAGTTGGCTCCCCTCTGATCCCATGTGTTTCTGATTTGAACTTCGCTCCATCACTTGCCAGGTACTCCAGCAGTCCTCACATACATAACAGCTTATAATTTACTGTATGGCGGTGATTTATTATTGGACATAATACCTGTTTATTAGCCCACATATTGTTGGTTTAAAGAGCAAAGTCACTGCAGGTGGTTGGTTTTTACTACAGTGTTTACACACACGCACACACACCTGGCTTTGACCTGCACATTCTTTAAACTCTGTGTAACGTCTCTGTAGCCTCATCAAGCTAGTGCGTATGAATGTAAATAGCCCCATTGTGGCTCACAGACCTAACATGATTACATTCTTGCACGGTTCCTCCCTGGAGCAGTTTCCCCCGCAACCAGTTCTCACTGTAATATTTCTAATTTAACTCTCTAAAGATAAACCCTGGAGGATACGGAGGAATAAGGCCTTTTTTTAGCAAATGTCTCTCTGCGCTCGGCGGAAATTTGGCCGTGCTAATTCAATAGCCAGGGTCTATTGAAATGTAAGGAAACGCAGAGCTTTTTATAGCTGTCTGTGACCCATGTAGGCTTCTGTGAGGGGACCATGAAAACAGGAAGGAAATGCTGCAGTAAAAGTCATGCTTAGGAATTAATAACACATAGTTTTGGATGTAGTTTGCATAAATGAACACGTGAGGTGGCGAACTTGCTCTGGGGTGTCGTGTACGATACGTGCGTGTATTTGCGTGAGTGTTTTCACCTCCAGGGGTGCTTTACGTGCCAAGTTAGGTTCACATCAAGTTTGCTCTCCTCTCCTGAGAGCCAATGAGGTTTTATCCTGTTGCCTTAAAAAATGAATGGGCAACGGCAGTAATAATTTATCAGTTGCTCGAGTCATCAGTTAACTAAGCCTGAAGTTGGGCGAGATTGTGCTGGTAGCCTGCAATCTCACACAAGGCAGCTTGCCTGCATGTCTCAAAAGTCAAAGCCAACAGTTTTCAGTTGTCAGTGATTTACAGTTAAGCTTCCTGTGGCACAGCTGTAGCAGCACAGAGCATTTGAAGAGGCACAGCCCGAAATATCTTGCATATGCAGCCAAACAGGGTCTTCTATTTAAAAATGAATATTTTTAACTCTATATAGTCTGTTGTTACGAGAATCGATTTCTACAAACAGCCCAGGTACAGAAATCTACAACAGCCCTGAGCATACACAAAGTGCACATACAGTGAAATGTCTGTGTTGGGTCTCGCGGGTTCACCAGTTCATGGTAGTCTTAGGTTCTTCAAGGGAACTGGACTTCCTTTTAGGTTCTTGAAGATGTTTCACCTCACATGCAAAAGGCTTCTTCAGTTCTAAAAGATAAAGGGTATCAACTCGTCACTCTGGTCCATCAGCTGGTAACGCTGATAGGGAGTAACGGATATTTAACCTCTGGCAATGGGACATGGACTGGTAGATGACCTGCTCTACCTCTGTCACCATGTGTCTACCAGTCATGACTCGCATGACAGTGTAGTGTCAGGACCACCTCCAGTATTTTCGACTCACCTTTAGCTTTTAGAATGAAGAAGCTTATCTTCATTCTGCTGAAACATCTTCAAGAAACTAAAAAGACGTCCGTTTGTCTGTTAGCTCAGGCCACAGCGTCACAGAAAACTGAATGGAAATCACAGGAAACCCACTAAGTGAATTTTCAAAGGCATGTGAAATATTGTATGTGTTTAATAATGACATTTTGGAAATGATCAGCCACAGGAAATTGAATTACATTTACTAATGAGTTAATGCTTAAAGTCAATAACTGGTTTGGGCCGCTTTGATTTCTTACATTTCCAAGAGTAATCTCTCTCTCTTGCTTGCAGGCAAGTAGTTCAACCATATCTACCTATGTTTGCTTTTGTCATTTTAAAGCGCATAAGGAAACACAGCGGATGCTGGTTGGCTTCATTAATGACCATCACTTCCCTGCTCTTTTTCCTGAGGGCAGACAGCCAGTCTGTCACTGCGGCCTTTGTGTCACTTCCTGTCTCCTCTCTTCTTTTTCCTGTCAGGGGGCAGAGTGAAAACCTGGAAGAGAAGGTGGTTCATTCTGACGGACAACTGCCTCTACTACTTTGAATACACAACTGTGAGTCTCACACCAACATGTTGTTTTTTATTTTATTAACTAAAGGCATCTCTGCCGCTGTGCGTGTATGCTTGTGTCATCGCAGAGCCGAGCATTTCATTTTTATCCTCAGAAGTCTGTATGAAATCCACCCTGAGTCTACAGCCTCCTTGTTAATTATAACAAGCAGTTTATTCCATAGCACCAGAAAAACGATGAGGATTAACAATTCAAGTTTTCTACACTGCTGTTACGGTTATGGATTTCAGCAGGGAGCTCTTCATGTAAACTCTACAAACCAAACATAACTGAATATGTTGCACTGTCTTCACACCGTTTATTGGTAGTTTGATATAAAAAGCGGCCTCTGAGTCAACATTTGGTTTGTGACCACCTGTTCTTAAGTCTCAGTTTAAGGGTGTTTTCTCTCCCTTTCAGTCAATTTAAAATGAACAAAAAAGAAAACACAGAGACTCTTTGGAAAAGGTGTCGCCTTCCAAATGGACTTCGGAGTGGTTTGTTTACGGAGAGATCCGACCCAACTAAAAGCTACACACTGCAATTTTGAGCTGAACACTTTCCTGTAGCCAGGTATGCTTTGCATTGTGAGAGATGTGCAGAGTACACAGAGTGTAAGTATACTCTTGGCCCAGTCTTATTTGGCCATTAATGGGCTGAAGGTTCCTACATTTCAGTCCACCTGGGAGTTCACGTCTCTGTGTCAAAGGACATCAAACCACAGGAAAAGGCCACAAGTTTACAAACTCATGAACTGATTTGGACCACAGGCTGAAAAGTTTTTTGGTTCGGAAAAGAAAATCAAGTCATCTGGTTGTGTCTAAGAATCTATATTTATTATTGATTCTCACTGAGGAAACAGAGACTTTAGGGGCCTCTAAAAACCCTCCTACTATCCAAATCCTTGGAACTATCTTCCATGAAGGGTGATGCTATTTTCTGAGAATTTATTGGTCAGTTGGTGGCAATTTCACACCTGTTGCTAATCTCCGGTTCCAAAGAACAAGAACTGAACCACCTTTGCGGTGCTAAAAACCCAGGGTTAACTCTGAAGTTAACTGGAAGAGACCAAATGCTGCTTCATAGTACAGGTCTCAAAGTAATAGGACCTAGTTCAGCTTTTAAGCCGGCGAGGCGTGATTGCAGATTCCATGCCAGTGCGTCCACCCCCCTGCAGCAGCACCACAGACCACGTCACAATGTGAAAATTGTGATTTTTTTTTTTTCTTTTTTTAAATTCAAAATCTATTTAATTGAACTAAACTTATGGTAAAACAAGAACAGCTATGTAGGTAATCATAAACAAAGCAAGCAAAAAGGGGAGAAAAGAGAAAATGTTACCACTTCAAAGCTCTTATATAGCAGTCAAAGAAGGGATTAGTGGTACGCCACCTCGCTGGACCCGCCTACTACACAAGACCAGGAAAAAATACCTCCATCTTTCTTAGGAGCCAGAAGTGACCATATTTGGACAAGAGTGTGGATGACTAATCAGCATATGTGCACGATTTTTCAGCCATAGACTGTATGCATGTATGGCACAGATATGCATACAGTTAGCACAGATTAGTTCTGCTAATCAGCGCTAAGTAACATAGAATAAAAGACTTCTTGGACACGATGTTATGTGCATAGCAAGCCACATTTATTTATCAAATAATTTAATTAAAATTAAAAAAGGCACCAGCACCAGAAACACGGTCTAAAGATCCCGCTTAAAAAGAAGCCTATGAAGTCTAGCATATGTCACTAAAAGTGGCCATACCCCCAGCAATGTGTCACACTACAGTTACAATGAAGAGGAAATGCAGTGCTGTACAGAATCAAACCACCAAACTATGAACATGCTTGTTTCTGCTATGAAATGTGTCGTTTAAGCATTTTAAGACCCTGAAGTTGCCCTTCTAGGAACTGAAGTTCTGGCAATTCTGCATTGGGATTAATTTTTTGACTTTGTCCTTGTGCATAACTAATGTAGTTTTAACATGGTTTGTCACCTTTCTGTATTAGTTTCTGCACAAAGCTGCAATAAGCTACTAAAGTTACTGGGTCATAGAAAAGAAAGAAAACTCCAGTGTGTAATTATCGCATACTTGTCTTGTGGCCACAGTGGATGAAATGTTGCAGACTGTTTTAATTGTCATATGTGCTCAGGTTGGCATGGGTTACTATTAAATCAGTGTCCCTTGCTATAAAAATTAGCCAATAGTGCTTGAAGATTTCCACCAGGGCATTTGTTTCTTTGCTGCCACATCAGCACTGTCCTCTTTGCTGTAGTATTATCCTTCAGGACACTATCATTATGTCCCGTCCTCTGGTCAGACTGCAGCATGCACAAGTAGAGGGGGGGGGCAACAAGCTACAATCACAGTGGATTTTTCTTTTCTGTGTAAGGCTGTTCCAGTGTTTCTTTCTTATAGAAATCTCATTTTATACCAATTTTTATGATTTTTATTTTTTATTTTTGATTTCCCCTTTCTTCCCCTTGCTCCTTTTCTGGTTTCTGTTCTTTCTTTAATACTTGCTTTTTGACTTTGTTCTAAATTGCTCTTTCTATCTATCTCTGTCTAACTCTGGTTGTTTTTTCCCCTCCTCTCATGTTCCTGCTTTTGATCGCTCTCTCCTTTAGGACAAGGAGCCTCGTGGGATCATCCCACTGGAGAATCTCAGCATCAGGGAGGTGGAGGAGCCCAGGAAACCTGTGAGTGTTGCCTGATTAGAGACCTCAGCCTTTCTCCCCATGGTTACTGTGTTCACTAAATCTTCTTTTTGTTAAAATATTTCTTCGCCAAAGATAATTATCTGGCACCTGTTTTTGATGACCTTTGACCCCTCTCTGTCCCTCCTTCAGAACTGTTTTGAGCTCTACAACCCGAATCACAAGGGCCAGGTGATCAAAGCCTGTAAGACAGAGGCAGATGGGCGTGTAGTGGAGGGAAACCATGTAGTATACAGGATATCAGCACCCACGCCTGAGGAGAAGGAGGAGTGGATTAAATCCATCAAGTAAGATTCCTCGTAATAGTAATGACGGCACAAAGATCCAGTGTTAAACCAGTAATGGTTGTTGTTATGTCAGAATAAACAAATAAAAATAAAAAAAAATCTGTGAATGTGATTTCCTTGATGTTGGATTAATTTAAGGCAGAAACCAGTTTTAACCTGTTCTTTTTTATTTCAATTAAATCTAGACAACTTGAATATATGAGGTGCAGTCTTAAAGTCTTACGAAATCAAAAACCTGACTTGATTTCAGTTTAGGTGATCTCATTCAAGGTCATCTTCTTGAGCACCTTGTTATATCTCTCTCGAAGTCCTGTTCTGACCCTTATACTTCTGTGATTTCACCACGTTCAAACTTGCAAAACATCAAACACCAGCTCCGGCTGTTTGCTGTTTTCTGTTGTCTGCTATTTTTCTGCTATTTTCAAAGGCAGAGGTTTTCATTAGAAAGCTCTTTCTCTCTTGAAAGGACATGACAGCATAGTTTGGGTTTGCAAAGTTTCATCTTAAGAAACAACAAGACTTCTGGAACAATGTTCTTCAGACAGAAACACATTGCTTCGTGCCATATTTGGCAAAAACCAAACACAGCATATTAGCACAAACGCCTCATACCAGCTCTGCAGCATGGTGGTGGAGGCGTGATGATTTGGGCTTGTCTTGCAGCCACAGGACCTGGCAACCTCACAGTCATTGAGTCCATCATGACCTGCTCTGTATACCAAAGTTTTCTGCAGTCACACGAGAGAGCATCTGTCTGACAGCTTGGTGCAAATTAGGCCATGCAACCAGGCAATAGTCCAAAGCATAGCAGCATTTTTACAACAGATTGGCTGAAAAAGGAAAGAACCAAGGTGCTACAATGTGGCAGGACCTTAAGAGAGCTGTGCATTAAATAAAATGTCCACAAACCTCAATGATCTCAAGAAACGTTGCAGAGAAGAGCGGGCCAGAGTTCCTCCGCAGTGATGTGAGACGATAGAGTCCTACAGAAAACAACTGCTTCAAATGACGACTGCCAAAAACTTTCTTTTTCACGTGACTGTATTTTACTACAGTGTTTAAATTAAACAGTGAAACGAATAACAACATGTTTTATTTCCATCAGATCGTATACATTCACGCTGGCAGTGAGTATACCATCGCTTTGGCAGCTGTGATAACCTTGCTTTTAATGACCTAAATGCTGGATGTTTTGTAATCGCCTGCATAAACGGTGGTGCAATGTCAAAGAGAGTTGGCTCAGCAGAACAGAGTGCTTATATACCGTAATGTAGTGCAATCATCCACCTCCCCTCTCTATACTATCAGAGTATTCACAGGAGACATGATGGGGGATTAGACAGGGTTGAGCCAGCAAACCTATCCAACACAGGCAGCTCCAAACTAGGGGTGACGCACTCACATCTACCAAAGCTAACAAGTCACAGCTTGCACTTCACCAGAGGGGTCCGAGAGGACTCGGGGTTCTGTGGAGATAAAAGGCTTTTTATGGAAATTATGATTTGCCCCTTTTTTTAAAGTAGAGATGATTATAGAGGCAAGGCCTTATCTGCTCATCTTGAGTGTCAGGAAGTGAAGTTGGACCAAGTAGGTCAATTAAGGAAGTGAGCTGCTGTTGTATGAATTAGTGTGACACGTTTGAAGTGAAAAGTGTGTTTTAGAAAAAAAAAAAATGAAATAATTCCAGTCAATGTATCAGTTTTTAAGAAGCATTTCCAGGACTGAAAAATGGTGGAGAAGGTTTTTAGCTGTGGCAGCCGCGCTCTGATTTGATTTCTCCACAGTGGAGTTATTGTTTCACAAAATTGGGTTGTAGAACACAACAATGAGGAGTATGAAAGAGGATAGTCATCTTACACACACTCATTCTTTAGCATGTGGCGTTATAAAGGGAATCAGAGATATCCGCAGTGGGGGGTTGAGCCTCTTCTTGCTTTGTGCTGGTGCTAACAGGATTTAGCAGCCGTGAAACTGGGCTTTTTGGTAGAGCCCAAATGGCTTCCTGACTCACTTGCTGCCTTTGTAGGCTGCCTTTACTCCCCCCCCCAAACTAAGCAGAAGAGTCTATAAGCAGGACTGTTGTTTGCCCTCCTTCAGACCTATAAACCTGCAGCAAGAAGAAGAGAGCGTGTGCGACTGCATGGTTCACTACGTTCTTGGCCGGGTTCTGAAGGAAGGAATCAGTGCAAGGTTCCAGCAAACCAGACTATCCAAAAAAAAAAAGACAACAAACAAAAAATAGGAGAGGGGTTCCCTCTTCAGAAACCATGGAAACCTAACTAGGTCACTCCACTAACTTTTTTTTTTCTTTTTCTGATCTAGTTAAAGCATGCGTTTGTATAAATGTGCCTGCATTTCCATATCAAAGATGTTTGAGACCCTCCTCTCATGTGGCCTTCTTATTTATTTCATCGCTGTCCTCTGATTGGCTTCTCTAGGGCAAGCATTAGCAGAGATCCTTTCTACGACATGCTGGCCACCAGGAAGAGACGCATCGCCAACAAGAAATGAAGAGGGACAATCAAGTGAACCTCCAAACCCCCTCCATCTTTATCTCCTTAAGTTCATGCATTCATAAACCACACACACTGCAAAGCTGGACTGAAGAGCACAGAGCTGACTTCAACCCCGAAGGCAGACTTTGGTTTCTTTCCTGGACTCTCCACAAGTTGTATGCACTTGCTGGGGAGACATCACACACTTGCTGGGGAGAAAGCAGCGCTCCAGCCAGTTTGTTTCTCCTCCATCTCATATACACCCCCCCTACCTCCCCAGTCATGCTTATAAGATGTTTATAGGTTTCCCTAAAGCCCAACTGCCATGTTTCAGGTGCACATGCATGCATGTGGGTTATTGTAGACCAATATGTTTGTATTTGTGTGTATGCAGCAGTGTGCATGCTATCGGTGCATACCGCATCTACAGTATGGGTGCATAAGTGATGCAAGTGTTCCCTCCATTGTGCTTTATGAAAAAAGTTGTTATTCAGAATCAGTTCAGATGTGTGGTCATTGACACGGTGCGCAAAATGTAAGGGTGACTGCTGGAGAAGGGGGGAGGTGGGATGAGGGGATGGACGGACACGTTTGGGACGTGGTTATGACCGCAGTGCAACCTCACCTGGACCACGTCGTCATCTCACTCTGGTGCTGAATTCTTCTCTCAAGGTGCCACGGCTGAAGAGTAACCTCAGAGGACATCAACAACAACAACAAACAGATGGCTTAGATTTAGGTTCTTTACAGTCAGCTGGACTGATTTCATTTATCTGTGTGGAGCAGAGAATTTTGTAACGTGCATCCTTTCTTACTTTAGTTGAGTAGCAGTGGCGCTTTTGCTAAAGCTTCAAATTCAACTCGCTTTGTGGACTTAAAGTTGCAATCCTTAAGATTTCAGCACCTCTGGTTTGACTGTATCCTGTCACACATTTTGAACATCTGCTCCCTTACGAGGGGCCGCCAGAGCAGGTAGCTCCCACACGTTTGCGCCTCCTCTGCAGATCGACCCAAGCATCTTCAGCTCGAGAAGTGAATGTTTGAACTACAGCACTGTCTGCTGTTTACAGTGTTTTGACTTTGATTACAACTAGACTTTTTCACACCTTTCCTCACCTTTAATCGAATTATTTTTTAAAAATAGCAAATATACTATTTAAATAATTTACATATGTAATATGGGGTAACCCATTTCCATCAACCTCAATCTTAGTGAGAAATATATTATGTACCTATGACTGCTTCACAATAAAAGCCCTCTTTTTAAATGCTTTTAACGTGAAACAGTAGCAGGATAACATTTGTTGGCAACTGTCAAACCAGGATCTCATTTCATTGACATCTTAAGGATTAGAACTTTCAGAGCGCTTTCATTTGAGAAAGTCTATCTACTGAGTGGGTTTTATTTTTGGCTGTGCAGAAGCCCAGTTAGGTACCAGTCCAATTAAGCTTCTTTTTTTCCTTTCCCTTATCTATGGCCTATGTGAGTGAAGGTCGGTGTGTTGTCGTGATCCTGTTTGCATTTGGTTCGTACTCCTAAAGATCCTTGCTTGCCTTTGTGTTTCTTCTCTTCGAACATTTCTATATCTAATAACCAGCTATCATTTTTGTATTTATTTTCATTTGTGAAGTGGTTTAATACTACCTGTAAATGTTCAGCAGTGTATGCCTAAGTTATGTTTGTATATACAATGTATAGCTTTCTGGTCTCTTTGTTGTAGTATGCACAAACTCTGTGTGTAACCATGTTTGAGCCGACTGGCAGTTTGCATCAGCTGAAGTTTGAGGTCTTCTTTGCAAAAGCCTTAAACATAATCATTATAAAATATATGGGGATGATGAATATTGGATAAATAACTGTGACAACGCCGTTAAAAAGCCATGACTGAGTGAGAAAGGTGGTTGTATTTATGATGATGATGATGATGATTATGGTGAATATGATGATGATTATACTAAAGTAATATCGGTGATGGTGATTATATAATTGATGATGATGTCAAAAACACCAGTAGTTTTCTATATAATTGTAAAATACAGTGAAAGCCTTGTGGTCAGGGCATGATATTATCTTCTACTGCCCTGTGTGGGCTTATAGTTACATTAACTTTTATATTCTCTGTAAAAGCTATTGGTCACGTTGTACATTACGTGTATCTACATAAAGTATACATAAAGCAGATTTGTGGTGTGTTCATTATTAATGCCGGTCCTGACCTACTTGTTCGCATAAATCATGAGCTGTTATTAATGAAGCACTCAGGCTGCTTAGAGCACGATGAGCTGTTTTTGTTTTTGTGAATGCAGAGGTCATCCTCCATGATGGGGAGCAGTGATGTATACCTGCATCCTGGCGAACACGTGGTAAATTAACAGGAAGTAGGGAAAGGTGAAGGATGACCTATTGGATTTGTGTGTTAACGTGCACAATAAGTGAAGCAATAACACCCTCTACAGGCTGTTCAGAGAAATATGCACAAAAACCTGAATCTTTAATTTTACTATTTTTCTGCTGTTCTCTCAAAGAAAAAAAATCATCAACCAAAATGAAAAGTCATACGCTTCAGTGTTTTCTGTGGTAAAACAGATACTGAAATAAATTTTTATGCTTTATTATGTGCAGAGATTTACGTTTTTAGGTACATTTACCTTTAAATAAAACGACAGCTTTCTTGCAGTAGATTCAGTGTTTATGATTATTACAGTGCTCACTGGGTTTCTCTTATTTTGTACACACCATTTATGTCAATGATGTGAATATAAGTGGCTCATTACATAATAAACCTAAGGAAAACATCCCTATTAAATAATAACAGCTTTAGTAGATTCATAAGACAAATAAATAAAATAAGGGAATATTTAGTCAGCACGGTAAGACAAAGCCAGATAAACTTCTGGGATACAGATGTGTTCAGCTCTAGAGAAAGGTTTCACAGGTGGTGGTCACAGATCATTACTCTCTTCTTATCCCTCCTGACTGATTATTTTCCAATTTTGCTTTTTGCTAGTGTTCTTGTCACAACTGGTAGGTTTAGACAAAGTTTGAACATGTTGTCTTGTAGGGACGTCCTCCCAGTCCTGGATGAGAGCATTGATGAGCTTTAGCTCTATTTGGTCGCCTTGGATACCCTGATACATATCATCCCAGAGGTTCCTGAGGCATTAGTACCTCCTTTATCCAGGAAATGCCTGCACACTCTTGCCACTGAATTTATGAAATGAGTGGACCATCAGTGGCAGATGTGTCTGTTCTGGTGTGCCGCCTGTCAAGCTGCGAGCACAAGTCCCACTGAAGTATAGCAGGCCCCCATGCCACCCTCATGGAGTCTGATTCTGATAGTTTAGTCACAAAGATGCCCCCTCAGTAGCCCACTGATAATCTTATAGGACTCTAGCAGAGCAGATGCTGGTCCTGCTGCTGGGTTGATGTATTTCTATGGCCCTGTACAGCTGTCCTTATGTAACAGCACATCTCCTCATTTAAGTCGATAGCTTTTACTCCTGCATTTTGGAGCTTTCATAATCAAATTTGACCCACCTGTGCACTTCTAGTGCCTATAACAATGACAACTTTGTATGCGGATATGTTTTATGGAGGTAAAATTGTGTGTGCAAATTGTGTTAATGTGCAAAACAAACAGTCCAGTTCAAAAGCAGTCTGTATATACTTAATAAATGATTGTGTACCTAATAAATAGGTCACTAAAATAGTATATTAAAATATTATGGGCCCAGTGCTCAGCTGATTATCATCCATGGGGGAAAAAAAATTCTACACAAAGTGTGCAGCTTGTGACTCCATTCATTGCAGCGTAATGTTATTATGCTAAAAACGACTTAATGGAAATGAGAGCTAATGCTGAAAATGTCCGTGATACTTAAATCACATAAGCAATACTGTGTGTTTGTGGAGCATTAACTGGAATTACAGTTCCCTATTTTCACAGTCTCAAAAGTAATCGGACAGTCAAAAATAGTTAATGCTATATTGTTGTTATTGTGCTTTTGTACTATAAGACAGGTTTGGGAAAACTGTGGCTATAACTTGTATTTGAGCAGGTAGCATAATGATGGACACACTTGGTTTAACACAGTTTATTAGAAAAGCAGAGCGAGGCATCACAGTTACAGTACTGTGCAGCAGGCTTGAGCTGCCCCTCATTTCTCTATATTTTGCGAGGAAAATGTGAAATAGGTGCAGTGATTTATTGAAAGATGCACCATCACACGTGTATATACAGTCTATAAGGCAAAGACAGATTGTGTACAATTCTAACAAGCCTAAAAGTTAATACTTGGTACAACGACCTTTATTTTCCAACCAGCCTGAAGTCTGTTACGCAAACTTTCTTGTCATTTCTATAAGTAGTCTTCAGGAATAGTTCTCCAGGCTTCTTGCAGGACATTCAAAGCTCTTCTTTGGATGTTGGATGGTTCTTGTTTTGTCCTCCATCACGATGATCCCACACTGCTTCAATAATGTTACTCTAATTTCGTACCTCAGGGAGAAAACCCTGTTTCCCTTCCTTAAGAATGGCTTCTTGACAGTCATCCATCCACTGGGACCAATTTTGATTTCCTATTTCATAGAACATGCCTTTCAGATACTGTTAATGAAATATGCCCCGTTTCCAGCTAACAGTCATTTTGGGAGTCACTTTGTTGGTGCATAACTGCATTCACTATAGAAATGGATAAAGTGTGTAACTCAAGGTCATCCGTTGAGTTAGGTGCCTTTTTTATGCTGGAACGATTGATGGGTCAGAGTTAAGCGACTTAACAAAATTAAATCATCAGGAAACGATCAGGAAACGAACTGACAATGAGTGAAAAAGCAGCCGACGTCCAAAGAAAATGCTGAAAGACGTTCAGAAGATTAGGAGCAAACTATTTTTAAAGAATTCAGGGATGGCTCAAGACTTTTGCACAGTACTGTAAATGACAAAGACTGACTCAGTTAGTCACTGCGTAAGCTTAGGTAGTCAGTGTTTGTATTTGGATTTGAAGTGTGCATAAATAACAAAGGTTACTTCAGGTTTTGTTTTTGCAGATTTGCACACTGATAAAAAAAAAATGAGCTGAGGAAAGAAAAGGACAAACACTGCCTCCCAGTGGATAAATATGGAATCACAGGGTAAAATGTAAAGTGCTAAAAAAAAAAAAAGGAAAAAGAAAACTGTATGGCAGACATTTATTTTACAGATGCAACGCCCTTTTAACAAAGATCTCTAGCAGCTCCACCAGGAACAACATCATGAATTCATGTAATCTGGACATATTATATATATATATATATATATATCTAAAAATATAAACAAAAACCAGTGTATATAAAACAAGTATCTATGATTTCATGTTAGACTCTGGGTCAATGTATGGCTAAATAAAGAGTCAAAGGCATTTCAACATAATGTCTTGAATATGTTGCCTTTAGTTTGATGACAATCCGGTTTTCCTGCTGCCTTTGAAGGTGTCGAATGACAACATCACTGAAAATTAGAACCACATCTGAATGAACTGCCCTTCAACTGCACAACAGCGTTTGTCTGTAGGGTTTTGTGAGATGGAGCCTCACGTGTAGTAGTTGGGTAGGCAGTTTTACTGGCTTGTTTTCGATCAGTTTTAAGGGAAAATAAAGGCAGCCAAGTGTTTTTTGCAGCAAACAGTAACCAATAACATGCTCATAGTTTAACACAAATGTGAGGTAAATGAAACTCTGTAGAAATACAAACTGCAAATGACCGGACACATTTTACATTCTACTCTTTTTTTACGTTTGGCTCTGAGTGCAGAGGTATTGCTGATTGTGATCATGAGCAACTTCTGAGTGAAATGTGTGCTTTTGAAACTGCACATCCAATGAAACATCAACCACAGATATTATTGTGCCTTCTGATATTATTGTTATTACACTGATGTGATCTATACTAGCACATATAGAAGGTCCTAAAACATGACACACTCATTTAAATCACAAAAGGAAGCAAAGAAACAGCTGTGAGGCACTGGAAAGTAAAAAGCACAGGTACAGTAAAAATACAGTTCAAAGTAATCTATACTTGACCTTCTGAACATGAAAATAAAAAAAATATTTAAATGTTTTTGAGATCTTTGCAGAAGCAGTGGCACAATGACCATTTTCTTCTAAAATCTGCAGATTTTGCAGTCGTGTCTGCTACAACAACAAACTCCCCAAAATCTTTTCTGACCTGATAAAAAAAAAAAAACGTAAAAACAAACACCAACTTGCTGTAAATAACTGGTTTCCAAATCACTTGACCACGGTCGTAATGGTGCAAACTCACACTTAAATATCAACCTTGTATCTTAAACTCTAACCTTTTGTCAATGCCTCGGTGACTCTTTAGTAACTGGTAGGTTACTAACCGCCCTTCAGCAGGGCGAAGAGGACACCTGATCATAGTCAGGACATTTGAGGAGAGCAGGGTAGCTGGTACTCATCTGAAGGGAAGCTTCACTCGAGATGTCTGAGGGGCTCCGTCCACGTGACCAGGCCTCCGGGTGGAGGAACTGACCAGAGTGGTCGGAGCAGTTGCTGAGGCGAGGACGGTAGAAGCTGGGATGGCGGGGCTGGTAGAGCTCCTCTGCTGCGTAGCGCTTCATGAACAGGTAGACTGACATGACGCCGGCGCTCTGCAGTGAGGAAGAGTCAGTTTATTCATAAATAACAATATGATCATTATGGCTTATAGCTTAAGACATTCAGTAATTAGCAATCTGAAATTATTAGAAGACAGAGAGAAGTATGTCCATTTATACACTCAGTACTTGGTTGGGACCATGAATTACTGCATCAGTGCATCGTGCCATGGAGGTGGAGGTGTCTGGTGGCTATGCTAAGGTGTTATTGGAGCCCAGGTTTCTTTGATAGCAGCTCTCAGCTTGTCTGTATTTTGGGGTCGGGTATTTCTCATCTTCCACTTGAAAGACGCTCTGTGGGGTTCAGGTCAGGTGAGCTGGCTGGCCAATCAAGCGCAGTAATAATATGGTCAGAAAATCATTTGGTAGTAGTTTTGGCACTGTGAGCAGGTGGAAAGGGAAATTGGCATCTCCTGAAAGCTTGTCAGGAGATGGAAGCATGAAGCGTGGTAAAACCTCCTGGTAGAAGGCCGCATTGACTTCGGACTTCGGACCAGCAGATTACACGACACCCCAAATCAT